TCAAACCTCACTCAGGTCCACCGACCCCACGAAAACAATGAATTGCTACAATAGTTTTCAAGGGTCTGAGGTATAAGGGCTTTGTGGGGTGGGACCCACTTCGGGCACCATAGGGCTCTCGTCGTGCCATAGTATGACACCCAAAACCGATGTCAGAAAACCCGTAGTATTTTTTGATAAGAAAATTAGTATGCTAAAATTTAAAAACAAGAAACAATTAAGTTTGAAAATATGAGTGGTGGGTAATGGTGAGTTTACCTTGAAAAAACTTATTAATGGATATCTGGTGCATAAAGTGTCCAAGAATGGGGATATCTGCATGCATTGTGCATTGTTTGCCATTTTGAAATGCACCACCACTACCCCTGCAATTTCCACCTCTAAATTTTGTAACACCAAACAAATAATAAAGGATTATGCTACTGTCACACCACCAAATGTCAAACAATTTTGTGGGTGTTTCTATATGTGCTTAGAAGCTGGTCAAAATTGCTTTTAAGTTGTTTTGAACTTATAAATCAGCAAATGACATGTCTCTTTGTGGGACTATATACTGGACTATAAAGAAAAAACTGGCGTAAAAATAAATAGGTAAGACCTACTTATTTTTTCTGGCTTATAAGCTACTTATAAGATAAAAATTGTTTATCAGCAATAAGTCAATAAGCACCAACACAGAGAAACACCCACTTTAAAAGAAAACCATGTTCCACTTCCCTAGGCAATTTCCAAGGTAAAACCAAACATAAGAAAATAACTTTTTCTTAGCAATTTGTTTCCTTTGCCTGGCATTTTCCGGGATCCAAACACACCCTAAACGATTAAAGGGGTAAAAGAACCTACCATGAGAGGAAATCGCTGCCTGAAATTTTTCAGGACCGGCAACTGCTTCAACACCCCCACCGAATTTCCTATTATAGACCTCTTCTCCATTGGCTTTCTCCAGAGCAACTTGGGCATGAATTAAAGATTCAGCAACTTCGTTGTCATGTGGAAATTCGCTCCTCAAAGCTTCATAGTCTCTTACAGCTTCAGCCCATCGTTCGAGCTGCAATCACACATTTTATATTTTTTTCTTTTATCATTCATAGGAAGCAAGTCGCTATCATATTATAAGAAAGCCGATTGACAATGAGAGAAATAAACCATATTCTTATGTATTGGTCTTTCTTTGCATGAGTTTTTGATGCGGGACTATATACTCCTAGACTGCAACTTGGTTTTTTTTTTTTGCCTTAAGTTGTCAATTGCTCAAACAGATTTGGGCTTCTTTTTTGAGCTCCCAAGTCGTAGCTCTCATACTATGTAGAATTATAAGATTCCAATTGGCAATGAGAGGAGTATAGTATCTCGTATTCTTATATATTAGTCTTTTTTTAGCCTATATCGGACTATATCTTCAACACAACCCACACCGCGATAATGTGGTTTCACAAAATATTAAAAAGCGAAAAGGAGGAGTGGCACCTTCATGTTTGAGGCTGCCCTACGGAGAAGTGCCTTTGTATAATTAGGTTGGATGCAGAGGGCTTGCGTGCAATCGTCGACTGATTTTTCCCACTGGCCCAGCTTATACCAGCATGCAGCTCTGTTGCAATATAGAACTGAATTTGAAGGATCAAACCGGAGACCGTCCCCATAGGCAGCACATGCTTCAGTGAGCCTTTCTGACTTGAACAAATCGTTGCCACGGTTACGGGCTTGGCTAACTGATTTGACATTGTTGAGCGCAACAGAAACTTCAACATTTTGACAGTCAATCTGTCTGGCTTTCTCCATTGCAGCAACCGCGCTTTCAAACCTGTAAGAAATTATAGTTATTTGCCCCTTTTAATATTGTAAAAAAATGCGGTTACGTGCCAAACAGGGTCCTAAAAGATAGTTGGGATCAGTTAGGGTTAGGTGCGGCCTACAACAACAGCAACAAACCCAGTAGAATCTCACAAAAGAGGACTATGATTGTGAACTCCTGACCTTCCATGAGCTAGCTCAATTTGGGACCGAACGAAGAAAACATAAGCTTCCGAAAGCATCCCAAAAATCTTTGACCGGGGAAAAGAACCGTTTGGCTCCATTTTAGGAACTTTTGATATGCTCAAATCAGCATTGTCCAACTGATGGAGCTTCACAAACGCTTCCGCTCTACACGCAAAGAGCTGCAAAATTTCAATTCACTAAAAAAAGTCAGACATTATTGCTGCTATACCCTTTTGATCATATGAAAGTTTCCATTCGAAACGATCTCCCCCCCCCCCCCNTGTGGCCTAAGAGAGGAATATGATTGTGAACTCCTCACCTTCCATGAGCTAGCTCAATTTGGGACCGAACGAAGAAAACATATGCTTCCGAAAGCATCCCAAAAATCTTTGACCGGGGAAAAGAACCATTTGGCTCCATTTTAGGAACTTTTGATATACTCAAATCAGCATTGTCCAACTGATGGAGCTTCACAAACGCTTCCGCTCTACACGCAAAGAGCTGCAAAATTTCAATACACTAAAAAACGTCAGACAATATTGCTGCTATACCCTTTTGATCATATGAAAGTTTCCATTCGGAACGATCCTCCTCTCCCACAACTACCCACCTGAGGAGATGAATCGGCTCCAGAAGCAATAGCAGCATCAGCTTCCCTTAACAGACTCCTCCAGTCAGCAGCTGCCCGTGCATCGTTACATTTCTCTACATGTTTCTCAACTGCCTCCAACTTTCTCAGCTCCGTGCAATCTGCCACTTGATGACAAATGTGCTTCCTGGCGTTCTCTACCTGCCCTAAACTGTGACCACAGAAGGATTAGATTTCCTAAATATATGTTAAACAAAATCCAATAACATAGGGCTACGTTTGGATCCGGGATATTGAGTGGGGGTTGAACTCAAATAGATTCATAGTAGACATCTGCTCAAAGACTTGAAACTGATATTATTCAAACACTTCTATTATATAACAACAACCATAGGACAATAAAGAAAAAGGGATAGAGTGAACAACAGCGACACCATTTTAAACACAATCATCTTTCATTAATCAGAATCAATACAATCTAGAAAAATAATGCTCTTTTTTAAACATTTGGCATGAATAGAAATATAGAATCATAATCTCTCAAGTCCAAGTGAATTGCATTTGATAAATAATAAGTCTTAAAAATCAAGAAAAACCGCTGAGGCGCTGGTCTTTGCATGGCCAAACATTAGTTTAGGTTAAGCTTTAGGTGTCATGAGAGTGACATTACAAAAAACATCCTTCAAGTGATGTGATTTCACTCAGTGAAATTATCCAATTACCATTTTATCCAAACCTACAACTGCTCAAAGAAAAACTCTTATTTTTCCAATCGACCCCACACAGGCAGCCCACCTAGGCATTGGCCCGTTGGGCCCAAAACCCGCCTATCATTGTTACCTTTTGAAAGAACCCTTTTCAAAGCTTCTTTCTGGATTTAGAGTCATGTGTCTCACATTCTTCATAAGCTTCTTTCTGATGTACTAGCAAAAGAAATCATGAAATTCAATGCTTTACTATAACTGACAAAGCCCACATTCCCAACTATGCCTCCAAGCATAGTAAGTGAAATACTAGTAAGGAATTTGGAATTCCCATGGACTCTTAGAGATCAGAATCTATGCAAGTAAAAGGCAAAAAAAATATGAACAGTGAGATAATTAAAAGCAGGGACAGTACTATGACTAAAGGGAAGGACAGTACTATGGCTAAAAACAAGGACAGCCCAGCTCCTAAAGGGAACATAAGGAATATCTAACAGTGGCAATGACCAAAACAATCCAAACAAACCTTCCACAATTCACTAGTTTACCCAAATGAGAACCAGATCTTGAAAAGGTGAACCCCATTTACATAAACTCTGACCAAATTTTATGAGGGCCGTTTGGTAAGGGGTTACATCCATTCCAACCAAATGCATTTCTTAATCTTATCAATCAAAGAACCAATGCAAAGAAAAGGAACAGATCTTTCACACCTACCAACCATAAGAAACTGGGCAAAATTTAGAATGAGACACGAAATGCTGGAATCAAAAGAACACGAATGGAAATTTGAAAAAAAAAAAAGATTTGATTTTTGTTGGGAAAAGAAAAAAAATCAAATACTCACCTAAGAAACAAAGAGCCTAATCGGTTGTGGGCTCTAACATATCTCGGATCCAACCGAATAGCTTCCTCACATTCTCTCACAGCCTCTGCATATCTCTTCAGACTGATCAAAACTGCTGACCGGTTACACCGGTAGGACGGGTTGCCCGGAGATATGGAAATAGCCTTGTCGTAGAGATTCAAAGCCTCTGCAAAATTGCCCTTCTTGTAATTCTCATTCCCCATCCTCCTAAACTCCTCTGGATCGCTACTCAAAGTTGGCCCTCTTGAATTGGAGGCAATGCCACAACTTCCATCCCTGCCGCCTGAACCTCCGCCGGATTTCTGACTTCCTCCGCCGCGTATTATGCTCCCGTGGCCGTAATTCCCAGTCCCTAACCCCAAAACGTCAGTCTTGGACGTTTTGCACGCCATCCCAGTCTTCAAAGCCTTCCCGGGCCGGCAGATGTTCCCGGTAGGAAGCGCATTCAACGGCGGAGAGTTGACCACGCAGCTCCCCCCAGAACCCGAATTGGACCGCGAGTGGCCCGGATTGAACCCGCGCGAACTCTCCCCAGAACCGGACAACTCGCCGGAGTGGCTCCCGTCCGACCGCTTCGGTGCTGGATTCCGACCCGACCCAGATCCAGAGGAACTGGAGCTAGTACTGGCCCGAGCCTGCAAGGGTGAGACAGGAGAACCCAGATCGAGTTCCTTGAAATCCGGCTTATCGATCTCCGACCCATTGTTCCCATCCCTGAAACGGAGCGATTTCCTCAACCGATCACCCAGCCCGTCAATCCCAGCATCCGACATGGAAGCCCTTCTGGAATGAGACATCCCCGCAAACCCAAAACCCCAATAAATCCTCCCCAGTTAAATCTACACACACAAAGCTCAGTGTATGTATAAAAGTATCCTAACTATGCCCTCTGCTGCAATGGAAGAAGAGAAGCTCTGCTGAAGGAGGAAGAGGAGACATGCAAAGATTAAAGAAGAGAAAGAAATGGGGGATCTCGTGATGTAAAAAAGAACGGGGAGGAGAAGCAAAGAATGAATGCCAGTGTCTGTGTGAGAGAGAGAGAGAGAAGGGGGAGAAGAAAGATGGTTTTTTTACAGTGAGAAAGAGGAAGAAAATTGAAATTGGGGGAAGAAAAAAAGAAAAAAAAAAGAAGAGAGAATTGAGTTTCCCTTTCCTTTCCCTCCACACTTTCTATTTGACTTTATTCCACCGCTCGCCCATGGCTTATTTTGGACGGTAATGTTTCATAAGTTTTTTTTTTGGATTTCTTTTGACAATTATTGGTTGGCAATTAAGAGAGTAAGTACTCTTTGTTTAGAAGCAATGCTCCTACTACATACCCTACACCCCTAGACTCCTAGACCCTACTAGGGCTAGTAGGATACTCCTTCCATTCTGAAAAACTTTTCCAGTTTTGACTTTTGGAACGGGAAGATATTGAAATTTGATCAAGGCGAAACGACGATAATTGAAACAAGTTGGACTCGAAAAATGTCAAAATGGATAAAGCATAGAGGATAGTTGAGGTGAGTTCGGTTAGATTTAAGAAAAAATGGGCAATTGTGTCCATTTAGGTAATATTGAAATGTTTTAAGGAACAGGTAAGAAGCAAAAGTTAAAATGTTTTAAGGGACGGAGAAAGATTATATATTTCTTTCGTTCTAATTTAAATCGTGTGTTTTAATTTTCGATGTTTGGTTAAAGTTATTATCAATTCAATTTATTTGAGAATGAAGGTAGAATTAAAAATAATAATTTGTATATGTGAAAATTACATCAAAAATTTTACAAAACAAGAAGTGACATGACTATATTATGTTACCGAATGAGTAACAAATATAAGGAAAGAAAGTGAATAAAGTTTGACCATGTGGGTAAATATGCAATTTAATTTGAAACGAAGAGAGTATTTGTCAGCGGAGCATAATTTAATCGATAATAGCGATACAAAACAAGGTAATGTCTAAATTCGACTTCTATCAACAACGATAAAGGACGATCATGTATATGAGTATATCATTTGATCATTGCACGTGCGAGGGAGAGATCTCACTCTCTATTATAATAATCAAGACATATCCTCCCATTTTGTAATCTGATAGTGTAGCAACTAGTAATGGCAGAAGAACAGAGGATTCAGCGAGGGAGGAGCAGCTCCGGTGACTTCCCGTAGCCAAGACTTGCGGCGGATCCAATATATGTTAAGAAAAGTATACTTTCGAAGTAGGAATTGTTGATTTGTTAAAATCAATCAATTTTGTTTGTGGCTTAAAAGGGTGAAATTAAGATAAAAGAGCTACTAGATTATTTTGCAAGTTCACATTTATAGAGTTTTGAATATACTCGCTACATCCATACCTAATAAAGGGAGTAGAAATTTCTTTTTGGCACAAGAGAAAACACAGTAAGAAATTATTTCTCATACTTTGTACTCAATACAAAATATCGTATGAATAATGCATTGCCTAATATGTTGAAATTGAAGGTAAACATGCAACATCATTAATCCTTTTTAATAGCAAAATAAGATCTTTTAAAAATTACATTCAAAGATTTAGGAGTCACTAAGTAGCTACACGCCTTCAGGCGTGAGGAAACCAAATGTGTTAAATGCAAATAGTATAAACATGTACTTCCTCCGTTCCACTATATTTGTCCACTTTCATTTTTGCACACCATACAATACACTTCTTTAATCCATTTTATCTTGTAATTTGTATATTAAAAGATTATAGAAATTATATATTAATAATCTATATGTTAAGACAAATCAAACAAGATCACGCATGACTATATTTAGGCTTACACATTGAGAGAATTTGATGAGTCAAAGTGCTTACATGAACAGTTCCAAAAGTCAAAAGTGGACGAATATAGCGGGACGGAGGGAGTATTAGTTTTCGAGACAAGCTCTCTTGTATTTGGTTGGTTACCTGGAATGAATCAACTTTTAACACAACATGACCCGCCGTAAAAATACTAGCCCCCCAAGTTCCCACCCATCCATTCAAAATTCAAAAACCAAAATGGCAGCTGGTGAGCTGAGTGTGTTGATCTTCCCTCCAAGGTAACGGGTCAGTCAAGAAATTCATCGGTGCTTCTTTTTTTAACAGAATTCCTGATACGCTGAAATAGGTTAAAGAGAATGTGCTTGGCTAAATCATGTCGGTAATTCTACAATGTATTGCATGCTCTCCAAATGAATCTAATTTAAATATGCCTGGTGACAAACAGAACATATTTTATCATCCAAAAATAAGGGAACTATGAGTCGATACTCAAGAATAAAATGGAACTCCACGGGAGACATATGTTGGCCAATCCCATCTATGAAAATGCATGGCAAGAGAAAGTCTTGGGTGTTTGGTACTCGTAGACATTCAAAAATGACTTTTTGCATAACGATCATATCTAAGTGTACTTTCAACTTTCACAATCTTACTAAAAAGTTCACCCGCTAATGTATGTTGGGCTTTAGGGGCGGTGTGTATCATGAAGGCACGCCAAAACACAACCAAATCAAAATCTATATCACATATATCATTGTCTCGTAAGATGTAGTCGTGAAGCACCTAAAATTGTGCCTTTGAGGCCACGAATGCATCGTGATGCACATTTAGATGATAAATATTGATCCATAAAAAAAGAAATTTCTGAATTGTCTCTCTAATAAATATTTTTTTACCAACATGGCCTCTATTTATTATTTTAAAAAAAATCTAAACCACTTACTCTATCTATCCTTCACATAAACACACTCAATTATGTACCAAAAATACACTCAATTAACTACAAGCTCTGCATATATTGCTACCCTTTTGATAAATTTTATCTTAAAGGGACACCTTTTTGTTGCAATCAAGATCATCAATGTCCTGGCTTGACAAGTTGAGAACCATGCTACAATTCATTCTCACCGTCACGCTCTTCTTTATGATCAAAACCTTTGCCCTCCCATGAATAGTAGTAGACATCGAAGCCGGCATTCGTCGCGCGATCAAGTCGCGCGACAGCGACGACGCGCCGGCCAGCAAATCCCGGACCATGACGTTGACCGTGACGGTCAACCTCATGGTCCGCCTCGCCCGGGCATTTCCAGAGGGAGCCTCGGCCTCCCCCACCACCCTCCCATCATAAGTCAAACTCGTCGTGGTCCGGTCAAACTTGAACGAGACCGCGTTCGGGTTTTTGACCGCGATCCGGGCCGAGAGGGTGACGTTGAGGTTCGAGTCGACCGGGTTCGCGGCGGTGAGGGAACTCAGACCGTCGATCTGGATGGACTCCATCTGGATCTTCGGGTCCCTCACCCGGAAGACCGTAAAGGCCAATACAATAAGCACGACCGCCGTGACTGTTATGATAACCGTGGTCGCCACGCCGCAACAAACGGCGGTGCACCGGTGTTTCCGCCGCCTCGTTCCGCTTTCGGGCGCGTCCATGCGTTGGCTGTTGCCGGGGGCCAATGGTCGGACTGCGGCCTCTTGCTCCGCCGTGACAGGGCGGCCTGGACTAGGAGAAATGGTCATCATGATGATGCTTGAATCAAATCAATAATCAATCAAGTATTTATGTTATATCGACCAGAAGGTGTTATTTCAGTTTAACCGCGTGGCGGGCCGGATGACTTGAGAGACTTGGACTTCCCATGGGAAGTTTCTGTGGTCCAACGGTCAATTATATTATACGAACTTATTATCAACGCGGAGAAGTTAGGTTTAGAACGGTTGAAGTGGTTATCTACGAGCAACGTTTGGCGTTAGATATAAGATGTCGTCAGTTGGGTCTAAGGGACCCTCAGAAAGTCAGAATAGGGCTCATCTTGGATAAGTAAAAGTCTTCAATCTCAAGTCTCCATCTTAATCCCCACTTGTCAAGCAAGGTAATTTTCTGTACTGGCATTCATTTACTTATTGCTGATGAGTAGTTTTTAACTTAGAAGTTAAATATTCTTTTGTGAAAGTAAAATGACTTAAATGGTAGTTAAATCATTTAAAAATATTCATAAATGGTAAATAAAAGTTATTTAAATAATTTGGTAAAAACAAAATTTTGAAAAAACTGACTTAAAAATAGTGAAATTTGTACTAAATGATACTAAAACATATATATGTCATTTCTCAATGTAGTACTTAAACTTTTTTATTTCCTAAATAGTACTTGAATAATGTCTAGTGGTGAAAATAATGTTCAGTGATAGTAGACATTTAATTTGAACAATGTCTAATAGCGCTGGATATTTACTTGGACAATGGACAATGAACAATGAACAATGACTAGTGATATTACATTGGAAAATAAAAACATATGGTATTCATTGGAAAAGTCATTATTTTTAGTACCATTTGGTTAAATTCCCCAGGTGTACCTATTTATTTTTTCTAGCTTATAAGCTCGTTACAAGTTAGCTTAAAAACATAAAAAAAACTTGTCATCATCACACTTATACATTAAAAATAGCTTATAAGTAATTTTGACCAGATTATAAGCATAAAAAATACCCATAAGATTTTAATGAAAGCACTTTAAATAGAAGTAAAACATAGAGAAAATACCAAAATAAGAGTTGTATGTTTTTATCCCTAAATATGAGTTTGCACTGTGATAATGTGACACTGTACATGTACATATTACTATACTTTTATAACTCATATTTAGAAATGAAAACATGAAACACCTATTTCGGCATATTTTTAAAATTTTACTATTATTTTATTATTTTTCCCAAAATTTTATCCCTATCTTCACTTAATTTGGATGTGAAACCTTATATTTTTAAATATTGGGTGATACCGAGTTTCGAATTTTTAACTTCTTAGTCAGCAAAACTCCGATGTCATGTTAAAAAACCAATTCAACCAAAAATTCAATCTTGTGGGTGCGCCCCAAGAATTTTTTTTTTTGTATTTTAACCATTCAGATTTAACTTTAATGGGATATTCGGGTATATTAGCTAGAAACAAAATGGCATACATTTTCAATATGAATTGAAAAAGTCTTCGAAGTAAAAAAATAAATAATAAAATAAACACTTTTTCCGCCCCAGAACTATTGTTCTAGTTTGGCTTTTTATTTCAAACATTGACGCTTTTTGTCTATAAATTATAGAAAAAATATGTTCAATTATAACGTAAATTTAATTTAGTTAGACATGTTTTAATATATAGTCTTCAGATATCAATTTTTGTAACATGTATCGAAGTATTTATTTAAAATAATACTCCATATTTAATTTATTAAAAAAATGTCATAATTTGGCCAAAAAATCTCAAATTTTTATTCTAATGCTAAGGCAGAGCTGAGGTAGTAATAACAATAAAATAAATTCATAGTGTAACAATTTACCTTTGACCCGAAAAACACTTGAAATCATGAATGATGATAATTTACAAATTCCTGATTTAATTGGGTTGTGTCAAATTAGAAAAAAACAGATGCCTGCCACTCATAATAAATGTTTTTATTTTGATATTACTCTCTTTTTAAGAAATAAAAATAGAGTAATTAAAATTTATTTAAAAGAAGAGAGCACAATTTCAAATATATAATATTTTTTCCTAAAAAAGCTTTGAATAATTTAAATAGAAAATTAAAGAACAAGCAAATTAGTTGTGGCATGTAGGGACTAGTGAATAGTTGACTACAAATGTGAAATTACAAATACAGTTGATGGATAAATTAAATGCGAATTAAATTTCTTTCTATTTCACCGAAAAAAATAGTTCTCCTATATTAGGGCTCCCAAATTCCTTTTTTAATTGTTCAAAATTATTTCTCTCTATACAAATTGTAATCGTCTACTTTTTAAAGTTTTATGTGTGGTCAAATCCTACAATTAAATTAGAGAAAGAATTTCACACATTTTCTTTTTCTATTTAAGTATTAATACTAAATATGCGGCTCACAATGTTCCTCTTTTCTTCAGTTAAGTTTTACTAGTAATCACTAATTTTTTTTACTTTTCAAAAGTTTTCGTCTCTGCAGAATTAATTGCCAAAATATATTTCGAGATGAAATATAAAATAAAGAGGATGCTCAAGAATAATGATGGTGAGTAGAAAAAGTATCGAGGTGAAAATGAATTACACTTTTGTGTTCCTGAAATTCACATGTAAAATATAGACATTCTGACATTTTTATGAACCGACAAGTGATTGTTTTTATTTTTACAAAAGGTTCAATTCTTTCTTGGTATCTTTGCACCAAATTTCATTAAATGAATGTGGACTTTAGGACCACGTAAAAAATTGTCTTAAAATGTATTATTGTAAAACATTTTAAAGGTGGGAGCAAATATTGTCCCACACCTGAAGTAAAAAAACAAATTGATCAAAAGACCTTTTAGAAAGTACCTAAAAATAAAAATATGAGTATTTGAGTCAAAGTAAATTACAATCCATCTGTCTAAAATTTTTCTTCTTATCTAAGTTTTCTTGGTTAAAGATCATAAATTTTGACCACGACATGTGAATAAAATGCATTGTGGTATGATATAACTGTAATGTCAAGTGTGAAAAACATTTCCAAATAGGCCCTAACTTGACTAATCTGTCTAGCTCGTTTTGCCCATAACTCTACTTTGGTACATAATTGTAGGGTAATGTCACTAATGCATGGGCATCTAACTATGCACTTGTCCTATACATGCAATGCATGCAGATTAATTACTGTAATTAACTCTCACTAAATCAGAGGTCTAATGATTTTTCTTGGCCTTTAAACAAACAATTAGCTTCAAGTTTAGCACTCCCTCTCCCACAATTAGGTCTAATAATTACGCGTATTCTTGTTATAGGTTTCTTTATATGTTCTTAGAGAAGCGATGAGATTTTGAATACATATATAGTTTCATTATGTGTACCGGAGAGATTAGGGGGTTCGAGTTGGGCAGGGTGGGTTCGAATCAAACCCGGGTGGAAGTTTACCGTAGAGATTAGGGGGACGAGTGTGATGATATGACACTCAACTTTGGTGTCAATATAACCAAGGTGTAATAATAATAATAATAATAATAATAATAATAATGATGATGATGATGATGATGATGATGATAACAATAACAACAACAACAACAACAATAATAATAATATAATTCCCTAATAATTAAAAAATAAAAGACAGCTCAAACCAATTGGGGATCGAGATCACATGTAAAGGAATCTTGGGGTTTGGATCCTCATATCATTTCATGATTTGAGCATAATATTACAAGCTAGGGGGAATCTAGAGTCTTAGAAGTATTATTAAATCCCTAATTAGTCCATAAACACAGTAACTAATCCATTTGGTCCTTACTCATCACACATTATTCACATAACTCCTCTTGGGGCGTGTTTGGTTTGAGGCATGGTAATCACTTTTTTTAAAAAGAAAATGAAAGGTTCAACCATAATTTATTTTTCACTTTTGGAGGTTGAAAATATTAAATCCTACAATATTGGGTTCAATGTCAATGGAACCTAGCCGTTTGAAAAATACATTTTTAAGGTAAAAAATCAATTACACATCCCCAAACACGGTTCTAAAAAAAAGGTCTCCACCCACCCANTGAATGACACAATATTTAAAACATGTCACAATTTTAACTTCATTGTATGTGTAAATTGTAACATTGCCTTCAGAATTGCAACATATACCTGATACAATGTACTCTACTTATTTTATTTTGTTTTATTATATAAATTACATATCATCCACACAAAACTGTCTATCACCTACCATTTCTACTCTACCTGCGAGAGAGAGAGTTGTACTTCGAACTATTCTTTGTGATCTGCAGCTTTTGCGGTACAAACTACTACAGCTTCACTAAGTGTCAAAGACGAGGAGGAATCATTACGCGGGTGGAATGATGCTTGTCGATAAGTTCATCAGAGGGATTTTTGTTGTTAGGGGTAGTATGGTCATTTTCAAAGGTGGGTTCTTTGGCGGGATTTTGGTTGTTAGGGGTATTATGGTCATTTTCATAGGAAGATCGGGGGTTGGTTGGACCGACCTCTCTAGAAGGGGAAGTGTTCACGTAGAAAGTTTTCTTTAACCATACGGTTCCAGGAAACACCATAAGATTGACGTCTCTCAAGCTTCGTTTCTCGCTATCTTCCAATGGTTCGAAACCGAAACCTAGTGTCCATGTCTCCACTAAGCTGGGAATGGCAGATATTACCAGCCTTTCAACCTTGAGTGATTTGAGCATCTGGATGGGTTCCACAATCAAACCACCCAAAAGAATTTTGAGATCCAAAGAGATTAAAAGAGATGCAGAAAGAATTGAAATATAGATGCAAAATTGCAAATAGAAGGTAGATGGACGCGTCAAACATTAAGGCTGTGTTTGGATGGAGGGTTTTGGGGGCTACGTTGAACTCAATGTCCTACTCACTTACTCCCTTCATCCTAGAGTATTCGTCCAATTTGACTTTTTATGGTCACTTATTCCCTTCGTTCCACATGACTAAGCTAGTAAGATCTTCAAGATCCTCCTGTCCAAAACCTTACATCCAAATAGACCCTCTAGACCCCCTCCAAAATATTGCCCAAAATACATCCATCCAAACCAGCCCTAACAAAATATATCAAATAACCTTATATACTCCAAATACAGAGATCCAACAATACCTCCTCAAGAGAATTCATTAGGCGACGGCACATCCCCTGGCGACGATATTTGCTGCAGGTTGCAATGAGAGGCATCTCTGCAACCCTAGTTCCATGGATCCTGCATCGCCATCAGTGTCAATAAG